CGGTAAGAACATGACTTTGGCGCCCAAACGTTTTGCTTAGTGTTTGCTTCTCAGTCACATCGTGCAGCTAAAGCTGCCTTCAGCTAAATGAGGTGCTCCGAATGCACTAGATTAGTCCTGCTGGTCTTTGAAAATGTAAAGAAGAAACAAATTGTGTCATACTCATAAAAAGTGAAACAATTCTTAAAAAATGTAAATGTTACGGTAAACTTTTAAAAATCTTTAAAAGCACAATTATGCTGAAATTTTGTTGGTCATTTCCTTTAAAAAACAGAATCTCATGTGGTGAAAAAAAGAAAGACATCTCTTAAGTATGAATGTGAGCTGTTCTGATCTGAGAATAATAAACCTGGTTCGCGAAAACCAGTTATAAAAAGGTTTCGCTGATCAGACTTCAGTTCTGAAGCAAATGGTCAAACGAAGAAGAATGTCGCTGTGAAGACACCCAAACCCTCCGAATTTAGCTCGCACCTGTCAGCGCTCGGCAGAAGAGAGCCTGACTCCCTCCTCGCAGGCCAGGGCGCTTGTGCTCCGGTGCGAATCACCCAAACGCGCAGCCCGAGGCTGGCTGGTCCACAGCAAGCAAGCGGCTCCATGAAGCTGAGCCAGCAATATCTTCAAAGCATTAACTGCCGACTGCCATACTACCCAATTACATTAACTGACCGATGTTTCCATCCAAGAAGAGTTGCTGATATTCACTGTCGGTTCTCCGGATTTTACTGGAAGAAGCTCATGCTTTAAATGTGATTGAAGTAAGTGCTGAAAAGGGCTCTATGTCAGGAATGAATATTGCTCTTTGATTCTCTGAATTTTAGTTTAAAATACAGATTCGGACACTAGAAGGCTGGTATTTGTCTCAATTCCATGTTCGGTCTCCAGCGCACACTTAGGAAAGGCACCTGCACCTAAATACCGGTGTCTCTGATGACTCTTCTCAACGCCCCCACAGGACACAGATGTTCTGCGTTTCTAATCTTCTTGGTGCACAGGCAGCCAACGTGCGTAACTGCACTGCAAATGGAAGCGTGCTTACTACTTTTGTGAAATGAGAATTCAGTGACGGTTATAAAAATATTAAACTTAGTATCATATTACAGGAAGCGTAAGTATCTCTGATGGGCCCATAATTCCACCACTTCACCTGCTGTATCCGCTGGCAAACGTGGTTTGGAATATTAATGGAAAACTCCCTCATTATTAAACTGCGGCATCAAAAAAAAATTCACAACCACTAACAGCTTACGACAAAGACATTTTCAGAAATTATCTACCTTAAAAATATTTTCCCACCAAACAGTTCAGAAAATACATTTAATTTTGTAAAGCTAGAACAAATGGGGAGACCCCCCACTGCTTCAAACAATTCATTAATTCAGAAAGTCCTATTTTCTTTGCATTTAGAATCTCAGGAGGGAAAAAAATCCAATCTCCTCTCCTCCAATCTCCATGTAAGTGTGCCTATTTTGCTGAGGTCCAGATTTGAATAATTCAAAGCCATCTCTAGTAGGTGGTGTGTATCAGGGAGCAAGCAGCCAAAACCAGGCATTCTGGGCCTCTGAACACAAACGAAAGGCACCTTGCATCCGCTCACCTACCGCACTGCCTCGACCAACAGGCACAGGTCCCAGAAGGGGCCACTGTAAGGACGAGACGAGAACCTAGGTAAAGGGCAAAGAAAAGGACTCAAATACCTGAGTGACCAGATCCCCACATTTTCATCTACTGACACACAAAGTGTGGGCTATGTCTGTTTCCAACCATTACTTTTACCACCTAAGTTTATAAAACAAAGGATTTTTTTTTTTTTAAGGACCCAATAAGTGATTTGCCATTTTCTGAAGAAAATAACATGAAAGGTCAGAGTCTGGACTTTTGACAAATGTTAAGGTCCCTCACATATAAGGCTAATCTACAGCTGGTAAGAGCTTCGCAGGGCGTGTCGGAAAGACGTCTGACGGCGAAAACGTCTCCACGTCGCACTCCTGGTTTGTGTGCCCTCGAAACCTCAGTCTCTCTGGCCAGGTCCCTGGGTGGGTATCATCCCACCCTTCTTTCCTTTTCCTCCCTTCCCGCCCCTCTCCCTGAAAGAATGATTTATAACCTTCCCTAACAGCTAGCACATCTCAGGGGTTCTCAGAAATGGGAGAGAAATAACATACTCGTCATGTCCTCTTCAGGTATGCTGTGACATTCTGTGTGCTAGGCAGGACAATGCTGGTACTATTTTAAGTTGATCTGATGACCATATTTTTACAGATTATATCTGAAAATTTACTAGCAGCTTTTCACTATAAAACAAATGTATATTAGAGAAAAAAGAAAAAAACACAAATTTCTTTTTAAAATTAGAAAAAGTCTATAAATGAATAAAATGTATGAAATTAGTTTACTTCTAAAAAGGCAATTCAAATATGTACAATCCACTTTCAGAAAAAGACTATCCAGTTTACGTCAAAGCCGGTGGCAGAAGGAGGCAGCCCCTCCCCGTAACCGGTTTCCCGTTCACACGGCGTCGGTAGACACCGAGGCAGACTATTCTCTCCGCTTTACAAGTGAGAAACCCAGAACCTAGAGCTTAAGGGACTGGCCAAAGATCGGCCGACAAGTTACATCACAGACGGGGCTTCCTGCTCAGGTTTCTGGACCCCGGGTCTGGCAGCCTTTGAAAAGAGTGGGAGAGGCCAAGCTTGGCCACGTGCTCACTGGGGCGAAGGGAAGGCTGGCCTCCGGATCATCTGCACTGCGGTCCTCTGGCACCCTCCTCCCCCCGAAGCTGGCCTCTCCCAAAGGGCCCTGCGCACGCTACGTACTCACCAGGGGGTCGTCACATAGCTGCATTTGACAGGACCCCTGGAAAAGCGCGGTGCTTTTTACCCCAAGATTTGAACGTCTAATAAATGATACGGCACGTGAAACTGCAGCGAACGGCACCAGCCTCCTCTGCCGACGGCCGAGGCTGTCCCGGAAAGGCAACGGCAGCGGGCTTCGCCCCGGCGCCCCTCGAGCGCTGAGACACACACACACCAAGTGAGAACGAAGGAGCCTATTCTTCACAGGAAAACATCATCTTGTCTCATCTAGGAGGAAAGCCCGAAGACGCACAGACATTTTAATATTCAACTGCTCTTTTCCCAAGTACGTCACATTTTGAGAGCCACAGTACCTCATGTTTTATACTTGTCTGTAAGTGGGCCATCCCCTAACACTGCGAAGCAATTTACGGCCACTGGATCGGGAGCAAAGACACCTGCCTACAAATACTACCTGTGCCCCTCATCACCCATGCGACTGTTGATGACCACAGCCCACTCTGTACCTTATCTGCAAGAGGAAGGCCACACTGCAATATCTTGGTCTTCCTAGAGAAGGTAACCATAAAGCAAAACAAATGCGCAGGGTAAGTTTTTACTTTAAAAAACATTTCTATGATGGAGAAGGATGAATCTTTCTGGAAGAGATAGAGACAGACACACAGACACACACGCACACACTTCTAATACTGGAACGCACACCTACACTGTCCAACTGCCTGTTGAGATTGCTGCTCCCATATTCACTGAGAAAATTGGTAATTCTTATCTACTGACAACTTTGCTCAAATTTGATATGGGCAAGGAAATCTAGAGGGGAAAAAAGTCAATAAAAAAAGGGAATGAAAGAGTTCAGCTGCCCTTGATTTCAACAAAAAACCCGAAACCCACTTTTTTTTAAACCTTATGGACCCAAGGGGGTACAGAAACACCAACACCCTGGGCCCCGTCCCTTCTCCCAGGTGCTATGGTTTCAAGAGTCTGGCAGAATCATCCACATCTTGGCTCTGTCAACTGCCAGTTTTGTGAGCCCACGGACGCTGGTGCCCTTCTCCGTTCAACAGGGCCGAGAACAGAAATTACATGTGGTGACGTGTGCGCAGGCCCAGCACATAGGAGACTCTCAGTGAATGTTGGCTCCTACCCTCCTGACTTCTCTTGGATAATAAGCCAATTTAAGAATCCAGATCAGGTCTTACAGCCTCAGAGAGAAGTGCACAGGGGGAAAGCTGGTGTGGGCGCCATAATGAGAGACACCAATGGATGTGGAGAATACGAGTTTGCAGAAATGATCAGATAATGAAACACCTTATATCTTTCCAAAGAAGTGAATCATTTTCTTTGAGGCGTCAAGTGAATAGCCAGCCAAATGTATCACAATCAAAATCTGTCATGGAAAAAGCCAGCCAGGTACCCATTTCAAATGAGTAGTAGTTTCTAATGATGCAGAGCCCGCTGTGACACATTCTCCTGATACTTAAAGGATAAACACACGCCCCCACAGCTCCTCCACGAACACAAAGGCATTCTTGGATCCAGAAGTTCTAACAAGCTAAAAGTTTATTCCGTTTCTCAAATACATTTAAACTCAAACCCATCACTTACATCTCCCTAATTCTGAAATCCAATTCTCAATTTGGGTACTTTACCAGCATCCTGTCGAAAGTTGGACTTTGCAAAATATATGCGCTCTCAGACAGAAGGGGAAAAAACCCATCAGACATGCACAAAACTCACACTCTTGAATATATTCCAATTTCCTCAGCCCTCATCTCCCTCAGCTTTTCACAGTCAGTAAAATGCAGTTACCAATCACTGGAAATGACATGAGCTTAACGTCAGAAATCATTTAGCTTAAATAAGGAAATAACTCCATTTAGCTTTCTCCCACAAAGTAAAATTAAGTTTGTTTAGCCCTTTTTTATTTATTGCCAAAGGGCAGATTTAATTTCAAGGGAGTGAAAACCGAACTCCTGAAGTAAAGTCTGAAGTTACCACTTTGACTACTAGGGCGCAAAGGCTGTAAAGCGTTAAACCAAGGAGCCGTTAACTGTAGGAAAACAAAAGGTGAGTGGAACCCCTAGGCATGGAGGGCGGGGGAGAAGCCGACCCGCGCACCCTGCTGCACAGCAAACGCAGCGCTGAGGAACCCCGCGGCCCCAGGGGCCCCACCGCCTCGGCACTCACCGGACACGTTGACCGCGGCCCCCGCGTCGATGACCCCGCTGTTGGGCCTCACGCAGTACCTGCGCGGGGCTGTGGTCTTCACTTTAAAACACACGCTGCGGTCTGTCGGGTTGCCGAGCTTTAGGTTGGTGGTGACAACGTCGGTGAAGGGACCTGTGGAAGGAGACAGAGGCTGACTGGGGATCCCAGGAGGAAAGTGGAGAAAGTTGACTTTATGGTCTGGGGTCGGGAGGGATATGGAACATGGTTAAGAGAAGGTTTAAGATCCGAAACTATCTCACTGCCACGGATAAAAGAGAGGAGCTGAGGTTAATGCGCCCCAGTAACAACTGAAGCTCACCGTGCCCTCGCCGTGCCACCCTGGCACCTAGTGCGGAGGGCATCTTGCTGAAATCTCCCTACTTACGATTACTGCTGTTTGGCAGACGAGGAACCGGAGGCTCGGGCGGACCCATCCCTTCTGTAAGTTTTCATACTAGTCAGTGACAGTGAGGCTCTAACCAGGCATTCTGGACCCAAGACCAGTTCTCAACCCATGCGAAATACTGGTTTCCACAACGAAAAGATGAAATCTGAGAGGGAGAATGTAAGAGACTAGACCTGGGTCCAAAACGATCATCAACAGCAGAGTGTGCTGAGCGGGGCTGACGTAAGAACTATTCTGAAGTGTTAATGGTCTATAAACACGGAAACCCCCAACGACAGTGTGGCTGCCAGGAAAGTTACTACGGCCTAGGCCACCGTGAGCTCTTAGTCCCGCCAGGCAGCCCACACCTGAAACGTCACACTCGGTTTTAACTACCCAGGCTAATGAAGATTGAAACGAAGCTCAGTGTGTCCTGAGGGTATATTTCATTATTATTTATTCATTTTCTACTTTATTAAATTTTTTTAATTAAAAAAGTAAAACATGCTTCTTACAAGAAGCCAAACAATAAAAGGTGTACAAAGAGGAAGTTAATAAGCTTTCCTCTGTCCCCTGAGGTGACGATGCAGGTCTTTCTCTATCATCTACGCTTATACGAACAGCACGTACACACGTGTGTGTGGGGCGGGGCGCGGGTAACAGAAACAGAAACCCACTTCTCCACTACCTATCTACCATGGACACCTGACCCCCGGTTTATTAAGGAGTCAGGTGGGAGGGCTGAACTACAACACCTCTTAGGTCCTTTTCAATTTACTTGTTTTCACCATGTAAATCAATGACACCTTTGTTTGCTCCGGGCAAGCTCTTTACTCCCGTCTCTACAAGGAAGCAGGAGATGGGGCGGGGAGGTACAGCGTGTCTGTGTTCCCGAACTAAGAAACACGCCATGCTGCTTTGTCAGTTCCCGAGGAAGACCCAACCAACAAAAGAACATTCAAATCCATGCCTTGAAAACGGTTCAGAGACTCCAAGCCCCCGAGGACAAGGACGATATCCTCCCTCCCTGTTGCTGTGCCTGGCGTCTAGGGAAGGCCTCTCTCTGCGTGCGTGTGTGTGTCCACACAGACACAGATACACACAGAGATTCATTCACCAAGCAGGAAACTACCTCATAGATTACCACTAGCAACATTAAAATCTCAGGCTGCTTGCTCTCCTCTAGAGGTACTCAGGGTGTGAAAAATCAATCTGATGTGGTCTTAACTTAAATATAAATTAAGAAATCAATAATGGTGGAAAGGAAAAAAGGAAAAGAAACTCAATTCCAAAATCAAATCAACTACAGCCAGTTCTACTATAAAGCTTATTTTGAAACTGTGAATTTGTTCCAATGTGATTGATGTGCATATTAGGGGGACAATCTGAGCATAAAACGAATTTCACATTTGCTTATGCGTGATTTTGTCTGCAAGAAACGCTAGGTGAACACAGAAAACTGAATTCTGCTGAAACACGCTGCACAGAAATACACAAAATACACACCTACAACACCAGCTACCTCAGTCTGTCCTGTGGGTTGGGAGCCACGCCCATCCCACCTGGCGTCAACAACTTTCCCTTCCATGTCAGGTAGCCCTCCTTCCTTTCCCTCACAGTAATTCACAAACTGAGACCTTCCCGATGCCCGCCCACCTCTCTGAGCAAACGTCACGTCTTTTCCAGGGTAAAGTGCCGTATTTAACCGTACGTAGGATTTATAAGCTTCCTACCCATTTAATGTGCGTAAAACTGTTCTACTGCCTTTGTTAGTTCCCTGTGTGTGTGTGTGTGTGTGTGTGTCTCCGACAAAGCTTCTGAGCCTTGTGCACCTAACTGTTTTCCCCTTGTAAATCCTTGGTTTTTATTGCGCTATTCTGTGTAGCACGGTGCTTTTTCGGAAGGCATATGTCCCATTAAAACGGAACCAACTATATTACCAGATCATCTATCGTTCTGCGGTTACTTACACTAAAAGCTATTCTCATTTCAAGGGCAATGATACCTTCAAGAACGAAATGCCTGAAGATGATTTCTCCGTTTGTTTACTTTTCCAGTAAGTCCTGCCTTTGCCCCTCCGGGAGCCAGGATGGGAGCCACGAGAGGGAGGCACTGTGCAGGTGCGGTGGTGGCCAGGTGTCCGTCTCATCTACAGACTCCAGCACAACCTCCTCTCCATGCTCTGTGCACTTACTGAGCACTAAGAGCTTACACACGAGGGCTGGCACCCTGTGGCCCAAGAGGAATTTCAGCTACAGTGAGGGAAAGCCAGATGCTGACAACGCTCCATCCTTCTGTCGAGTTTTTGGCATGAAGGGAGAAACAGGACACTTGGTGCTGAGGCAGTGTTTGGGGGATTATGGAGGCAGCAGCTCTGTGACTCTACCCTCTTCCGCAAGCCAACGCATGCAGCCTATCTCATAATAAAGATGGAGAAACTCTGATCTCCCATTTAAGTCTCTTTTGCCTGCTTAGGGTGGAGATCACTTCAGCAATGGTAAATGAAAAAAAAAATAGCTCAACACAACTCCAGCATTCTGGGGCCAAAGAAAACGCACACATATATACGCACATACATGCATGTACAAACAGCACACAAGGCCTACGTGGGCACAGTCACGCCCTACATATGTTCCCCGGCACTCACACAAAAATCGCCACTCACAAGAACTCCCTTTCAGTGCATCTCCAGCTCAAACAGCCCCAAAATGCTGGAGGAACGGAGAAGGAAACAGACAAGAATGTATGTCTACATAAAGTTGCTACAAAGGGGTGAGCTTTCAAATATAAGGCCGGTGGGGGAGAGATACCCACTGACAGTTTAAAGGTGATTCATAAACTATCAGGCCTTAAAGCTTTCGAAATATAAGCTTAAAGTTATTAGTTTCAACAAAATTCTGCATCCAGAACACGGAAGCATCTTCAGATCAGAATGCCAAGAATTCATACTGGCCCACAAACATATCCAAAGGTGTGCAGGTGCGCGTGTCCCCCCCCGCCCCTATTTTTCTAAGGTGGTCTGAAATATACTGAGCAGAAAACAGGAATGCTAGCAAGATCGTACCATGATGAAATTAAGAATACTTACTCATTCCCAACTCAATTTCTTCCTCCCTGCCCTACCTCATGAAGTTGAGGGAGCCTGAGTTTTTAAAGTACAGCTAGGTCCTTACTTAACATCATGGATCAGTCCTGTGACTTTAGGCAAAACAACATACAATGAAACCAATTCTGCCGAAGGCTATTTGGTAGAATCAAGACTTCAGTTCCTATGGCATCTTATCAACATTATAACGGAACTACCTTGAATAAAACAACATTGTTTGGGGGCCTGCTGTATTTGTTTTCCCTTACACTGATCTCTTCTTCTAGGTACTCACTCCACAAAAAGCATAAACCAAATTTAACTGTAAACACTAAGCTGTTTTTGGAAAAGATGTCTAAATTACTACGACAATGTTTGCAGTAATAAGCAGGATAAAATAAATATTCCATACTTCTCCTCAACAATCAATTCTGGGCCTTTTAGGGATTTCTTGGGCTTATATAAATTTTAATTTGTAAAAATCTGGAGGGAAATATACTGAAAATATATGCAAGTAAATGATATCACTGGTAAAACAGCAAATTCTCATGAGTAAAAATCAAGACATTTTGTAAAAACCAGGCCAACTCTCCTCTCTCCACCCCTGGCAATTTACTGTAAGAATTTTATTGAAAATAAATTCTGTTTGATTTGAGTAATTATAGGAAATAAACCATGTTAGTGTTCTCCTTTCCCCCTGTATTAATGAATTAGAATACACAAAAAACTCAATAAAAATGATGTAAGGGCTTATGAGCATCATTCAGATTTTTACTAGTCACTTTCATTTCATAAAACTGCCATTTCCATTAAAGCATTATGTAAAAAATGGGATTTTACTATATCAACATGCATTATTTATCACCAATGAATTTAAACATTGCTTATAAAGTACAGAGTCAATTTTACAAATGAAATCTCTTTCGAAAGTTAGACTTTTTTCTTTTAAGAGATAAAAAAATGATTTGGTATCTCTAAAACCACAGCATATATTTTTACTCATCTTTCTTTCTAATATTCTATTCCTTACTTCAAATGATATTTATACAAAACTAGAAACTAAGCATCTAAAATGCGAAATGGGAGGTCAAGAAAAATGAAGAAACATGATTTTGAAAGAAACTAGGAATATTCTTTAATTTTTTTCTTTTTAACAATTTAAATAATGTTCTTTATGCCCTGTGTTATGCATACTCACCTGTGAAAATTCTTGTGAGTTTGACAGATGTCCATGAATAGTATTAACTTGAATAGGAATTCCTTGACATGCTCTTAAGGTATTTAGATAAAGCTAATTAAGCACAGTATAAAATACAGTAGGTCCTCAAACAGAATAACATTGTTTCGTTATAACATTGAGACATGCCCTAAGAACTTAACTCTTGTTTAAGTCCATGAGCCTATGGAAAACTGGTTTCTTATACCGTTTTGCTTAAAGCCCCAGAACCTATTGACTTACTGTATTTCCTATACCCAGCCTTGTCTTATTGTCATTTTAAAGTGTATTTTAAGACGGAAAGAAGATCTAGAATTGACTTTAGAAAGCAAAAACAATGCCAGCAGAAATATGCATAGCATTAAATGTAAAAGGAGGGACAGTCAATTTTTCAGTCTTACAAAAATGGAGCCTTAGAATTACAAAGTGCTGGTTTAAAGGTCACA